CGCTGGCCACGCTTAAGCTCGACTTCTTTTGGCCCGGTACGGCAGAATATGTTGTTAATGTATTGAAGAGGTGTTGTGCAGTGCGCTCGGCGGAAACCCCCGTCTAAACCCTGTTGTCCACCTTTGCAATCTATTCGGGTCTCCCGCATAAATGAGCTGTCTTCTTTGGTTCTTTCGGTAAAGTCACGTAGAATGAGAATAAAATAATACGTTAATAAAATAAAATAACACAATTCAATTCTCACGACATTTCGGCCACAACACAAGTGGCTCTCTTCAGGTGAAAGGAACAGACCTGTCGGGACGACAGAGCTTCAATGTACGTTGTTAAGATTCGTAGCCTCTTTTAAGCTGGTTTAGAGAAGTGAGGCACCTTGACAAAGGGGTTTACATATCAAACAGAGGAATTTAGCATTGAAATAGCTGAGTGATTAGCTTGTGACTAGTCGTAGAAATAGCTATGTTAAAGTCAAAGCCTACACATCCACAGAGGCACCTAGTACAAATCAAACAGGATAATTTAGCATTGAAATAGCTGAGTGATTAGCTTGTGACTGGTCACAGAAATGGCTATGTTAAAGTCAAAGCCTACCCATCCACAGAGGCACCTAGTACAAATCAAACAGGAGAATTTAGCATTGAAATAACTGAGGGATTAGCTTGTGACTGGTCATAGAAATAGCTATGTTAAAGTCAAAGCCTACACATCCACAGAGGCACCTAGTACAAATCAAACAGGAGAATTTAGCATTGAAATAACTGAGGGATTAGCTTGCGACTGGTCATAGAAATAGTTATGTTAAAGTCAAAGCCTACACATCTACAGAGGCACCTAGTACATGGACGCCAAAGGGGCTGCAACAACTCGACTATCATATAGTAAACCGATGTGAAAAAACTTAAGTCTAAATTACATCAATATAATAAATGTACTCAATATATTCTTCAATAAGCTGAGCTATTAACAGTAACTGGGTATAAACTACACTATATAATGAATACCATATAGTAAACCAATAAAAAACTAAAATATAAACTACCTCAATGTTATCAATAAACTCTATATATTCTCCAATCAGCTAAGCTACCAACAATAAGTCGTTATATATCACAATGCTATATGGCGAAAAAATGGGTGGATTCTTATCCTCAACTCCAGCACCACGGATAGCTACGAGCCCCGTTCAGACGGACGAGTTGATCCTTGGTCGGAACGGAGGAGGGGGAGAGAGACAGCTGCGAGGCGCTGTTATACTTCATGCTGTAAACCATACCATTAACCGTGGTGTGAGAGGTATTAAGAGTCAATGCCAGCGAAAGAGCTGCGGTCTGAAGGTCATCGTAGAATACAATTAATTAAGAACCTAAATGGTTTAAAACATCTTTCCAATGGTTACTAAGCCAGAATCCATCTTCTCGGTTGAAATTGTCTCTGTGCTTGTATATGTGAATGGCCTCATGAACGAATCTCTCATGGTAGCCGGTTGGTTTGCAAAGAACCTCCGTCTTGGAGAAGTCAATGTCATGTGAGCACACTGAATTATAACAGTGATCTGCCACGGCAGAGGAGTTCGTTCTACCGTGTTCCAAGTCTAGGTGCCTCTGTGGATGTGTAGGCTTTGACTTTAACATAGCCATTTCTGTGACCAGTCACAAGCTAATCCCTCAGTTATTTCAATGCTAAATTCTCCTGTTTGATTTGTACTAGGTGCCTCTGTGGATGGGTAGGCTTTGGCTTTAACATAGCCATTTCTGTGACCAGTCACAAGCTAATCACTCAGCTATTTCAATGCTAAATTCTCCTGTTTGATTTGTACAAGGTGCCTCTGTGGATGTGTAGGCTTTGACTTTAACATCGCTATTTCTATGACCAGTCACAAGCTAATCACTCAGTTATTTCAATGCTAAATACTCCTGTTTGATTTGTACTAGGTGCCTCTGTGGATGTGTAGGCTTTAACTTTAACATAGCCATTTCTGTGACCAGTCACAAGCTAATCACTCAGCTATTTCAATGCTAAATTATTCTGTTTGATTTGTACTAGGTGCCTCTGTGGATGTGTAAGCTTTGACTTTAACATAGATATTTCTATGACCAGTCACAAGCTAATCACTCAGCTATTTCAATGCTAAATTCTCCTGTTTGATATGTAAACCCCATTGTCAAGGTGCCTCACTTCTCTAAACCAGCTTAAAAGAGGCTACGAATCTTAACAATGTTCAATGAAGCTCTGTCGTCCCGACAGGTCTGTTTCTTTCACCTGAAGAAGGCCACTTGTGTTGTGGCCGAAACGTTGTGAGAATTTTATTGTGTTATTTTATTTTATTAATTCATTATTTTAGTCTCATTCTACGTGACTTTACCGTAAGAACAAAAGAAGATGAATCCTTGCAGTCACGAAAGCTTTAAATCGAAAAATAAATGAGCTGGTTGCTCTTGATGTCCTCGGTCCATTTCCTGCCACCCCTCGCGGGAGTAAGTATCTACTGGTGGGCTTCGAATATTTTTCACGATGGCTGATGGCCTGGCCGCTTCACAACCAGTCGGCGGTGGCCATCACTGAGGCATTTCTCGACGGCTGTGTGATTGGCTGAACCTGGCCTTTCTTCTGCTTGCAGGTGTTGTTATGCGTTGAGGGTGGGTGATGCCGGTGTTGGAGGGGGTCCCGAGGTTTTGTGTGTTACGGCGTGTTTTCTTCCTCGCTCTCTTCTCTCTCTCTCTCCCCTTCTCTTTTCCATTGTGTTGTTGCCTATTGGTGAGTTCTATACCCCTGTTCCCTTCGCCCGTTCGTCACTGTATATATTGTAAATATTGTACACTAGCTTTACTACCCGGCTTTGCCCGAGACTTGGATTCTTGCCTTGGATTAATACACGGCCTACGCGGAGGGTGGGGGGGGGATGCGTGACGTCAGCAGGCACACTGCGTAACGCTGCCGCATGCGGGTGACATCACAGATGTAACGTCACAGATGTGACGTCACCGCTCACTTGCCGTGCAAAAATTCAAAAGTATATTTTTATACTGTTTGCATTGTGTACAGTCTGGAAGCGACCCACATGTCAAATTTCAAGTTTCTTGCATGTTGGGAAGTATGCTAAACATTTCGAACAGACACACATTCACAAATTTCCCTTTTATATATATAGACTACCTTTACTACCCGGCTTCGCCCGGGACTTGGATTCACCACGCCCGGCTGCCTTTGTCTCCCCAGTGGCGATGTTCACACACCACACCAGTTACTCCTTTGAGGCTGAGTCGACCTAGGGGAGGCCCAGGACCGGTTCAAATAATCGTCACCCATGGTGGCCGTGGGTGGGAATCGAACTCGGGTCGCCGGGTTTGTAGCGCAGCGCGCTAACCATAGGTACACTACCGCTCCCCCCACACACGCACAGACACACACACACAAACACAGACAGCACGCTAACCACTACACTACCGCTCCCCCCACACACGCACAGACACACAGACACACAAACAGAGACAGCACGCTAACCACTACACTACCGCTCCCCACACACACACACAGCACGCTAACCACTACACTACCGCTCCCCACACACACACACAGCACGCTAACCACTACACTACCGCTCCCCACACACACACACAGCACGCTAACCACTACACTACCGCTCCCCCCACACACACACAGACACACAGACACACACACAAACACAGACAGCACGCTAACCACTACACTAACGCTCCCCCCACACACACACACAGCGCGCTAACCACTACACTACCGCTCCCCCCACACACACACACGCGCGCGCGTCCATAGGTACACATACACGCGCTTGCTGCAGACACACACACAACTTTCAGGCTGCGTACGGCAGTAAACGACTGAGATCATAAAGCAACGCTGCGCGAAGAACGCCTTAGACCTGCAACACATTTATATTTCACTTTACCCGCCATCAGCAGGCACACTCCGTTACGCTTCCGCACACGGGTCACATGACAGATGTGACGTCACAGCTCATTTGCCATGCAAAAATATACGCATCATTGAGCCCCCCCCCCCTCCAAAAATATATATACAAAAGTGAAATTTTATAATTTTTGCATGGTGCAAGTCTGTAAAGTACCCACATGGCAAATGTCAAGTTTGTTGTATGTCGGGAAGTACGCGAAACATTTTGAACAGCCACACATAATCACAAATTTCCCTTTTATATATATACAGATATGGGATGGGGTATTTATTTGTTGAGGCACGCTAGGGGGCTTTGTTTGTTGAGGGGGAGTTGACAGCCGGGACGGCTGAGTTTTACGAGAGGGGGGGGGGGATGTAGTGACATTGCTGAATGTCACCATGCTGTGGGTGCGGTACTGGCCCTAGAGGGGCATGGTGTGCGATGTAATGCCATTGCTGGATGACACCATGTTGTAAGTGTAGGACCGGCCCTCGAGGGGCACGCTGGATAATAGTGCTGGATGGCACCAGGCTGTAAGTGCAGTGCCGACTCTACAGAACAGGGTGTGTTGGTACGGACCGAAGGATAAGGTTGTGTGAGGCCATGGCACTCTGGTTGACCCGGGATGACACGTGACCGGTTAAGTTGACAGAGGGGCCCCAAGAGGGGGCGAAGGACGGGGTCACGTGATTGGGACCCAGATCCTTCCCGAGGATTCTGGAAGGTGGACGTGGCCAAGGGCGGAGCCGGCCACACCACAGAAAATATAAGCCGGGTCCCGAGAGGGACCAGGGTTGTTCATCCCGGGAAAAAAAAAAAAACCCTTTGTCTACGATCTCTGTTTAACAAGTCTTCCAGCACGTGGATCCGGGCAGATGTTGTAGTCCCGGGTCTGTAGTAACAGTTACGTGGTAACCAGTCTAGTTAGCCGGGTGGTCACCACCTTATGTTGTTATTCTGTAAAGGGGAAGTTACCCCGTGTGTTGGAAATGAATAAATGTGTTGCCTTCAAAGTCGACGTCTGCGATTCAGTTGAACCCATTACACAAATATAAATGAATACAGGTTCTTTATTTATTCAAAACAACACAGAGCCATGCCATGATAGAGCAAATCAACATCACGTGGGTCTAAATATTAAGCAGAGCAGAAACGCAAATTAACGAACACGTGACTTTAAGCAACATAAAACACTCAGTACACGGTTAAAACTGAATATTTGCGAGTTAAAAAAACACAATCGAATATATTTTTGCGTTAAATGTAGCGGCCTCTAGTGCTAGCAGGGGCCCCGTGAACTTACAACACCCATCGTCTCGTGTTTAACATCACAAATAATAAAAAAACACAAGGATCTGCTGAGTGTCGTCTGTGTTGTATCTGTGTGTATGCGTGTGTGTAGGGAGCCGTAGGTTAGTGGTTAGCGCACGGCTCTATGAACCCGTAACCCGATTTCGATACCCACTTACTGCCACCACCAATGACGAATATATGAACCGGTCTCGGGCCTCCTTTATGTCAACTCAGCATGAAACAAATACCTTGTGCGGTGTGTAAACAAATACCTTAGGTGAGGCAAGGGCGGTCGGGCGTGGTACTAGTCACCCATCCCCTAGTTTACTGTGCCGGCCTTAATAGGTGCTCGCTAAAAACATTTGTCCCTAAAGTCAGTTAAGGCTATACGGGGAGCTTTGTCTTCGCACGTGTATGAACTGCACGTGTATATGTATTTTTAACTGCCTGTGTTCTACAAATGTGTGTGTATGTGTTGTGAGGAATTGTGGTGGTTGATTCAGTCCCTACTAATGATGACCATCTATTGAGGGTCGCAGCCAAGGCCAATGCGCCTTCTATTAAAGCCAAAGGTGGGTCATGACCCTAACACTTGGGTGGGAGTATTGAAAAGAATACCACACATCTACTCAGTAATAATGGTAGTATTCTGCTGGATTGCTGTGCAGCTCATGGGCTCATAACGATCAGCATCCTTTTATGTCATCACATAACACTTCGGGTGTGTCAGGTCCAAGCAGAAACATCTGTTGCACGATGCAATGTGGAACAGTCAACGTGAGCTTATCTGCTTGACATGAGGACATACTGTGGAGCTGATATGGCCACTGACCATCAGCTTTGCATCTGTAGGATATGCCTGCCATTCTTCCATTGTGGAAGCAAGCATCCACAAAAGACCCCATTTATGTGAGGCACGGTCTGCATTATATGTTGAAAGTTCGAAGCGAGAATTTGATCATCACTTGTATCCAGGAATTAAAGACTTCCCATCTTCTGTTGATGCCAATCAAAAATAGATGAGGTCCAGGACTGTGGCTAGTGCAGCTGCATTGGCAGCATTCGGTACCCAATCCAGACCTCTCCCAAACATCCTCATGGAGGAGGTGTTCAAGCTAGTTCAAAGTAAGTGGCAGATCTATTCTCTGATTACAACATTCTATGCCCGAGAATGAGGTTTAGCAAAGCGTTCGCTTAGAGCCACTCAGCTCTGCGAGTTACGCATGGTGGTTGTGAGTTGCTGGCCCATGATCACACACCACTCAATAATAATAAACTGCGAGCACCACCCCTATGGCGATCCAGTCTGAACCCCAAGAACATGTCTGCACATTTTCTGGACCCTCCTAGCGTTTTTAACAAAAGTTTGTTAAAGTCGATAGGGGGGGGGGGGTCCTATTCTTCATCTTATATGTATGCATTTATATCATTTGGGTCTTTCGGTAAAGTCACGTAGATAGGTTGAAAGAAAATAACAACAAAAAATTGCGACGTTTCGATCTTTCAACCTATCTACGTGACTTTACTGAAAGACCCAAAGAATATGAATTGTGCAGTCATGAACGCTTTAAGTCAAGATGTATGCATTTATGCACGCGTGAATATGTTAATGACGATGTGCATGTGTTCACTTCATATTCCCTGACAATGGAAGTCAATTCAGTTGGGGAAAAGGAGAAAGCCACTAAACAGCGCGTCCCTGCTTTGGTCAATTATCAAATTGATGTACGGAGCTTTCATCTCGAGCCATACCTGATCTCCCGTCTCGAGGCTCAGCACGACGCTACCGCTAATTTCCTCGTCTGGGCGGGCACATACATTGGATATCAATTGCCCATTTTTCATTATCATAACCACGAGATGGCCACTGGCACTTGAGTGCATAAACAAGGTGAAGTAGTAGGTGCCGGGGGATGCGCAAGTAAACTTCCCTGTGATGGGGTTGTAGTGCCCCTGTGGGTTGGTGATGATGATGTCAAACTTCATGGGGCATCCGGTTGCTGGTTTGTAAAGTGCCACCTTTGCCGAGAAGGCCGACCTGGGCCCCACACCATTCTCGCTTTTATTGCCTCTGCCGCCCTTCTCACCTGGGATTCCTGGAGGCCCCATGGGCCCTGACTGGCCAATAGGGCCCAGCTTTCCCGGGAGACCTAGACAGACACACGGTAACAGGGTCAAGTGTCAACGTGCTCGAGTGAGAGATGGGTGACACAAATCTCCATTGGTGACACTGTGCGACACGTGTTTGTATGCTGAATTTCTTTCACACCAACCATGCTAATCGGAGGTCCGGGGGAGGGGCACCAAATGAAAAAAACGCATTTCTAAATAAATTAGTTTTCAATCTATATTCTAAAAGTGCATAGCTCCAGTGGCTTCTTAATAAGATGCACAATTGAGGTGTGTTTTGTTTAAACTTTTTTGTTTGCTATCACAGGTCGATGCCCTAATCACTTGAGCACTTGATTGCCACATCATCGGGTTCAATAGACGTTTTCGTTTCACCTCCAATATATTTGCAGATTGACCCCTGTGTTTGGCATTAAATCCAGCATGTTAGGAGCTTTTTCAGGAACTGAACGTAGCAGTTCATTTTCTCCCTCAGTCATATAGCGTTGTTGGCTGCTGCTGCAGTTTGATGTCAGGCCAGCCGATGTTATGCATCAACAAACGTGATGTGATTACCCCTACCGAGGTATGGGCAGTGAGCCCGGACTCCCTCGTGTGATCACTGATTTTAAGCATACATTTCATCGAGTTTGTCACACACGTTATCTGTTGTTTTTTTCCATTTTTGAAATCCACATTGCATTATGGGTTCTTTAATGACGATAAAACAACGTTACGAAAAAAACTAACATTACGTAGCGAATCTAATGAACAAAGAAGAGGCTTCGTTTCATATTTGACATAATTGCGGACAAATCACCACGTGGCAAAAAAGTCTGCTGCCATCAGGACACGACTCATCCTATCTGGATAAACCCCTGGTCACCTGGCTCCCCTTTCACGCCTTTGTCTCCTGAAGCCCCGCGGTCTCCCTTAGCTCCAGGTGTTCCCATCACACCTGCGAAAAGAACAAAGAACGGATCAGCAACCCCTCGAGACATTGTTGTTGTAACTTTCTGACCAACCCCTACTAATCATCTGTGAAAAAAAGCTTACTAGCTCATTGGATTTTTCCAGGATGAATGAAGATTCTTCACTGGCTCCCAATCCAATCCAACATCAACTACAAGATTGCTCTCACGGTTATCAGGATTCTCCATGGACTCGCCACCACCTACCTCTCATTTTACTCTACTCCCCTCCAGGCACTCTCCTACCTGAATGAGTGAATTAACGAGTCACGTATGTATGTTGAACTTCTTTCGCACCGTACGCAGTCAACCGTGCTAATCGGAAGTGTGGGGGAAGGACGAAAAACTAAACACAAAAAGCAGTTCTAAAGAAATGAGTTTTCAATATCGATTCAAAAGTGCATAACTCAAGTGGCGTCCTAAAATCAGAAGCAAGAGCGTTCCAGATGGCTGCAGAAGCGCATCTCAATGACAGCTGTGGGCTGTGAATCAATCTGCCTCACCGTCTTTTCCGTCCCTGCCGTCCCTTCCAGGGACCCCGTGCTGCCCTGGGGTCCCCGGGATCCCGCTCATCCCCGCGCACACGGCCCTGTCCTCTTGGGCACCAGCTCCTTCTCCCAGCTCCGTGGTCACGGAGAGCAGAGCCGAGGCGAGCAGCAGAGATAAGATGGACATCTGGGGAGCGGCCAGTCGGTAGATTGAGCCACAGCATTGTCGTTTTCGCAGAAATATCTCGCATTAAAAAAAAGTTTTTATTATCAGTGGGTTAAAATTCGGGTTTTGGTTGATTTTTTTGTGAGGAAAATAATTGATTTTCTCGGACCTATTGTTTAGTCACAAGATACAAGAAATAAAATTATATATTACAAAAGTGCTCTATAAATGGATCAAGAACCTCTCAATTTGCAATATAAATTATGTTGTTCAATCCAGATATGCCATTAATAGAGCAATTTTGTAATATACACTACTTGATTTGGTAGAAGACCCTGGGACTGGCCCAGGACATGCTGGCGGGACGATGTCGCTCGGCTGGCATGGAAACGCCTGGGAATTCCCTAGGATGCGTGAAGACCAGCGAGAACTTCCAGTGTATTTTTATAGTATTTTAGAATGGGGAGAAGTGGCTCGGTGGTTAGCACACCACGCTATGCAACCTCAGTTCGATTCTAGACCCCGGTGAGTGATATCTTAACTGGTCCTGGGCACCACCATTCACCAACCCATTATGACTAATGTACGGATCAGATATCGTTCACTACTGATTTTAGCCATGGCCATTAATCGAAGTTGGGTCATTCGGCTTCATCGCGCAGTGCCTTAACCACTGCACCAATGCTCCGCAGGATAATTACACAATTTATGTCAGCCACATGACAGTCAAACTATTTTAAATCTTAAATCTGGATTGTCAAACGAAGAACCAAATGTAATTACTTGAGCCTGGTTTAATCACAGCACACGTGAATGGTACATTCACACACAGACTTACTTTGCACATCTGGCCTTTGCTTCTGCGTTGAGATCCTGCCAAATTCTCTCTGAGGTTCTGCCTTGTCCCTGGCCCTCCCTTTATACATTCGGGTCATGCCGTCAGCCAAAACTACCATGAACAACACAGCAATCAACACACGAATATATAAAGACAAACACCTCCCCCTCCACATACCAGATGGGCGACCCAAGACATTATGCCCTGTTTGCCTTTTCAGACTGTAGACGCAAGTGCTGTTAGCAATTAGCTCAATTGAAAGCTGGCATGGTACATGAGGGGTGGGTGGCCAGCACCTCGCCCAACCGCATTTGTCTTCCCAGTGGCGATGTTTACGCACCGCACCCGGTACTCATTTGAGGCTGAGTCGACGTAGGGGAGGCCAATGACCAATTTAGATATTCGTTACTCGTGTTAGCTGTGCGCGGGAATCGAACTCGGGACCCCGGGTTCGTAGTGCAGCGCGCTAACTGTTGCAATACTGCCCACTGCACATCAACAGCAACCGCCATTCGCCACTAAGTGGTGGTGACGTCACCATGACGCTTTTGCCAGGCTATGTGCACCTTGAGGCCACGTGAAGTGTCGAATGTCCACTGGCAGGAGGTCACGGGGCAGACCCAGGTGCCACGGGTCGACTGACTGAGATGAGTGGCTGATGCACCACCTGTGCCCCCTACTGTGCCAACTTGCTGTGCTTTAGCCACCCGGCGCTCCGCTCGTTGTTATGAGCATCGCTCCTCCGCCCTCTGGTGTTGTTGGAGGACAGCTGCCTCCAACTGCCCAGTAGCGTCCTTCACGAGCCTCCTCCACAGAGGCCAATCTTGACACCGCTGCTACAAGTCATCGGCAAGTCCACTCAGCTCCACATCCTCCTGCACCACATCACTCCATCTCTTCTCTAGCCCGTGCCAAACAAAAGCTGTTTAGGCATGTGGTGACTGGGCATGCGGACTACATGGCCCAGCCAACGCAGCCTTGCCTGCCGGAGGAGCTCACCGATGGGACTTTGTCCAGATCTTTCAAGGATTTGTGAGCTCCTCACACAATCCAGCCTGGTCAAACCCAGGATGGATCATAGGCCGGCCAGCCTAAATGTTTCTAACTGGCAAAGATGTTCCATTAGGGGGGTCCATTTTTCACAAGCATAGAGAAGGGAGGGAATGACTGTGGCCGAGAAGACCTGAAGCTTCGTGCGGAGCGGTACCAGGTAGCTTCCACACAGCGTTACGCAACCGATAAAAAGATAATGCCGCTCGACTGATTCAGAGTGAGACCTCTGCTGTTAAACCGGAGCCGGTCATAAGCACACTGCCCAGATATGGAGAACTCTCCGCTCTCTCCACAACCGCCCCATCACCAATTGGGAGTTGTGGGGGTGGAGTGTCCGATGGCACAAAACACCCTGGCAGGTGCTTAGTTTTGGTGGGGCTGACGGTAAGGCCCCACCTCTTAGTGGCAAGCTCCAGGTCTAGCAGCAGTGCCTCCAACTTCTCCTCTGAGTGAGCAGTGATTACCAGATCATCGGCATACATAACATGGTTGAGCAATAGGGAGCCATCCCTTGACCGCACCTGGGCATCGATCAAGTTCCCATTATATCTTTACCAGATCGAAATTTCTCCGGTACAGCTATTGAAGGCCTCGTGAACTACATGGTCAAAATAGATGTTAAATAATGTGGGAGCCAGAGGACATCCCTGTCGCATCCCAAGGTGTACAGGGAATGTCTCTGACTCCCGGCCACGTAGTTTTACCCGGGCCCACTCATCATTATGAAGGTCCTTAATGATCGTGAGCAGAGGGTCAGGTACTCCAAAAGCACGAAGAACAACCCAGAGCCCAGGCCTAGTGATGGTATCATAGGCCTTGGCAAGGTCAGTAAAGCAGAGATGTAGGTCTTGTTGGTATTCCCTACACCTCTGCTATAGCAGACTGACAGAAAATATGGCATCCGTGCAGGACCGCCCTTTCCTGAAACCACATTGAGGCTCCGCAAGCCTCTCAGCGTGCCTAGAAAGGCGATATTGAATAATCCCTGCCAGGACCTTTCCCGGCACACTGAGGAGTGAGATGCCCCTGTAGTTGTTACAGTCTGTGTGGTCCCCCTTCTTAAATAGTGGGACCACCAGGGCATCCTTCCAGTCCTGCGGAACCCGTCCGGTGGTCCAGACTTGTTATGATATCATGTAGGGCAGTCTATGCACAAACGCCACCCTCCCTCAGCATTTCGCTTGGGAGATCATCTCTGCCCGGTGCCTTTCCTGGTCTCAGAATCTGGATCGCCTTTAGTACTTCCTCAACAGATGGCACCTCAGCCAGCCACTCACAGGGGGTAACCGCAGCCTCCGCAGGGTCATCCCCACTTTGTCCCACGATGCTTCCCATGTCGAGGGATTTCCCCTCCCCCAGGACTTCACAGAAATGCTAGGAAAATCTGCAAACCCGTTCCTGGAGGTCGGAGATTAGATCACCGTTTTTTCCCCTAATGATGGTAATAGGTGTGGAGCTGCAGGTAACTTTTTTGATGGCGTTAAATAGGGATTAGTGATCACGGGCCATTGAGGCAGACTCCATCTCCACAGCAACCCGCGACCACCACCCATCCTTGCAGGGCCTCACGACTCTCCGAACCTCCGAGCGAAGGCTGCAGTAAGCCTCCTCATTCTGACGTGGGATGCTGTAGACGATTAGAGTGGGCCTTTCGCTTTTTCTCAACTATCCTGAACACCTCCTCTGTCAGCCAGGGTCTCTGGGGAGGTCTGGACCGCGTACCCAAAGCAGCCATTGAAGCTGCATGAGTCACAGTCCTAAACCTCGCCCATTTACCCTCGACATCTGGAGGAGTGGGGGACGATGTCAACCCCAGCCACAAGCGATGATGAAATAATTATCACTTGCAACTTTCATCAGCTAGCTGAGACCATGCCACCTTAGGTTGGAATGGGGTCCTGGGTGTACAGTACACCCACCACCGGAGTGGAAGAATGGCAGTCGATGGTCAGAGGGCAGATCAGCTCCACGGGAGGTCCTGGTGTCAAGGACATGGTCCCGCATCCGCTGATCCGTCACTATGTAGTCCAGCAGATGTTCTTGCTTGAACCCGGCATGCATCCATGATGTTGTGTGATGTGCTCCCTACACACTCACTTTCACACACACACACATATGCGCACGAACACACACAAACACTCCCAGCGCGAGGCGTCTTCATTACATCTCGCCAAGGATTGGTCCGCTGAACAAAATAGTTCCGCGGTTCAGTTTGCAAGTGTGAGTTCGCATTTTAAGTTAATGGTAAAAAAAATCAATATCAAGGAAGCTGGCTCGTAAGTGCGGGTGTTCGTAAGTGCGGATGTTCGTAAGTAGAGGACTGGCTGTACACATGTATGTGTGTCATTGCGTAAGGTTTGTCATCATCGTTTGTGTCTATACAGTACAATGTGTGTTTCCGATGACAGCGCTTCTCCCAACAGTCTGTTAAAGGTTACATCAGTCGCGAATATTCCCACCGGTCCTGAGCCTCCCCGAGGTCGATTCAGTCTTAAATGAATACCTGGTGCAGAGTGTAAATAGAAGGACTGGAGATGAAGGCAGCTGCCAGGTGTGGTGTTGACCACCCACGCCCTTGTGTGCTTGTGTGCTGTGCCGGTCTTCATAGGTGCTCGCGAACAGCATTCCGCAACAGTCTGCTTAAATGCAATATGGGTGGTCTTTGTGTGTGTTTCAGTGTGCGTGTTATTTTGTGTGGGTGTCCTTGTGTGCCCGTGTATGTTGGGCACACGTGCACTCCAAAGTTTATTTTCTTAAAGATGAAATCTGGAGGCAAAATCTCATTTGGGAATTCAGGCTTCATCAGAGAAATTTTGTGAAATTCCCTTTGCTGACTTTGGATCATCAATAGCCCATTGTATGGGCATGCTGGCGTCACGTGTGTTTCTCTGTGCATGTAGTCCGCACGTGTAGGGAGCAGTGGTGTACTATGAACCCAGCGACCCGAGTTCGGCTCCCGCTCACGGCTAACACGAGTGACGATTGTAATCTGTACCGGTCCTGGGCCTCCCCTAGGTCAGCCTAGCCTCAAATCAGTATCTCGCGCGATGTGTAAAGATCCCCACTTTATATGGTAAATACATTTTTTAGACCATTGGCGGTCGGTTGATCTCCCCGCTGCTTAGGCCTAGTCACTGTAGCCCCATCGGTCAGCAGGCGGGGCCCACTTGGGGAGGTCTCTGTGTCACTTTGCCATGGGAGCGCTGTCTGTATGGGGCACTTTGTTGCCATGTCACCTAATAATTTGCTGTACGAAATACATTTTTTAAACCATTTTCCTAAAACATTTTTAAAATAATTTCCCGAGCTTTCCAGTCAGCTAGGCTGTGGGTCACTTAGCCCTTGCTACATCATCTCCAGTAACTTAAACTGTCCCGAAGTAACCAGTTCTTTGTGGTATAATCTCGTGATTTTGCCGAGAGAATCAATAGTCACAGTTTAACCCAGCACATTAGTGGTGCAAGATGCCACTTGAGAAATATACTGGATCATATTTTCACATCCGCTGATGCTGTAACTGTGACCAACATTGTTAGTGGAGACGTGGGGTATTTGAGATCACAGTCACGTGACGTGAAAGTAGCATTACCGATTAGATTATTCGCCCATCCGTCACAATGAAATCATACAAAGACCAGAAACGACTGGACTCAGTGGCGTCACTAGGGTTGGTGTCACCCAGTGCGGTAACTCATGGCGTCACCCCTCATGGACCTCCGGCAGTTCCAGACCATACAGATTCTTTAGTAACGTTTTTTGTACTACTGTTACTCGTAAACCGTGATCACCGTATGTCACTGAATGTAATGGCAATAGCAGTGACATAAACAACTACCAAAATACAAATTACACCTTTAAATTACAATATTTCCTTTAATTACTACTTCATTCCCCAAAAAGGGATTGATATTGGTTCACAAATACTAATTACAAAAATATTGTAGCTAAAACGACAGAAAATGTGGCAATCAGCGACTTTAAAAACACGAGCAGCAACGAAAACAACAGCGCGTGCTTGTAGCGCGTGCAGACGAAACCACGTGACTCGAAGCATCATTGTAATTGGGTAATAATGACAGCTCCAGACCGGAGCGCATTAGAAGGTTCAAAA